GACCTATGATATAAACGTATTCGATGAAAATTCGTTGCAAATAAATTTAAACGATGTGGAATATTGAGGAATATTAAAATTACTCGGAAATGAGAAATATCAAAATGAGTAAAGAATTGCTCGGAGTCGAGAAATATTGGATTATTTGGATCGAGAGCCACCAGAATTACTCGGAATCGAGAAATACCAAGAATAACTCGGCAATTCGATGATTATGTCACTTTTTTTTGAACAGCAAAAATGTATGTTAAATTTTGATTGTCGTTAAAAATTGAAATATAAAACTTCATTGCTCATTTCGAAATCAATGAAATGTCCTATAAAATGTCGAGTGAAGAAAAAAAAAGCAAGGAAGAGCCAAGAAATAAAAGCAAAGAAAAAAGGGAAAAATACACATAATGCAACGAAATTACTTTGTCCTTTATCCATTGTCAGAAAAAAAAAGACAATTTTTTCATTAAAAATATTTTCATTTCACGAAAATTATTTATTAAACCTTTCCGGAGTATAAAAAAATTAATTCATCCAAGAATATCAGCCGTAAATAAAAAGATCGGAAGATTTGGAATGTGTATTTCGTGCTAATTAGATCAGAAAAAAAAATTGACCACAATGAAGTAATTTGCTTGAAATGGCCTAAAAATTTCTGAAAATCTTTTATTGTCCTCATGCATCATTCATTTATCATTTAAATTCAACAAATTCATAGATTGAATTCAAGAAATCATTAAATTTAATAAACTTTTAGACTAAGTTCAAGAAATTATTCAAGCTCAACAAATTGTCATATCAGTTTATTTGTATGCTGAAATTTATTCATTTCAATTGAATTGTCTCGAATGCTATCTGACTCATCATTTCCGGTTACAGATCAAACTTCACACCAATGTTTCTGCAATAAAAAAAAAGGTTGCAAAAATAAAAAGTAAAAATTTAGCACAAATCTCGAATGACGCTAATTTTTAGTCAATTAATTCTAGCATTGAACTATTATTTATAAATACACCCCTCTGAACTGTCCAATTTTTATTAAGACTTTTAAAATTCTATTAACTCTAATCAAACTTTCATATCTTTCTCTTTCTCTTTCTCTCCCCTTCTATCATCATTTCATTCATTATTTTAAATTTTTGATAGATAATTTAAATTTAAAATAGAATGAGAAGTAAACTATGAAAGAGGCAAAAACAAAAAAAAGACGAGAAAAAAAAGAAGAATGTCTGGTTTGGTTTGTTTCAATCATTACAATTCTTCCTCACCTAAACAGCAATCCTTTTTTAATTCGTTTTATTTCATCCATTTTATTATTTAACACTAAAATGATTGAATATAATTTCATCAAAAAATATTTTTAATTTCAATTTGAAACGCAAAAAAAAGTTATTCATAATTCCAAACATAAATACACATATCTATGCTTTAATGAATCCAAAATGCACCAAATTTTTCTCCCAATTTTAATTTTTTTTTCTTCGCCATTTATAAATTTCCAGAATACTCTCAAAAAAATCATAAAATTTGTTTAAATATTGAAAAATTTTCCTTATTTTAGGTTAGATATATGGCATTCCATTTATTTATTTATTTTTCCTTTCTTCTCATCACCGAATTCATATTTTGCTATGTTATATGAATTACAAAGTTTATTGGTGTACGAATTGGTTTTGTGTTAAATTATCCGACACAAAAAAAAGAAGTGAAATTTTTGCAAACTTTTTTTGCCGTTTTATTCTTGAGGAAAAGGAAGGAAAAATTGAGAAGAGAAATGGAAGAAATAAATATTGGCATTTTTTAAATGAAAAATTTTATGAAACATGAAAGCTAAATTTTCTTGCCAAACTTTTATAGTTTGAATAAAGTGTATACCACATCTGAGTTCTATACAAAGTACTCAAAAATATTTTTAGAAAATTAAATATAGCAAAAAAAAAAATGATATTGATACCAATAATATTTCATTTGCTAAAAAAAGGCTAGTTTGAATTTGAATAGTTCATCAAAAAAAAACATTTTAGAAATCTTTTTTTTTTTAAAATAAAATTTTAAATTTTGCAAAAGACAAATTATCCAACAAATATCATAATTATTAAACTGTAATACAAAATTTCGTTTCTCATTTATCTATCAAAGTGCTCTGTTACAACCGTAATAATATATTAGAAATGAAGTGCATGCATGTATGCACGCGATATTTTAACATTGTAGCATGCATGTATGCAATATGTAATAACGTTAAAATGTTTTGATGAAGTTTGTAAAAAAAGATTAATTTCATCCCAAAAGTTTTTGCAAACGCAATTATGCATATATATATTTACAAAGGCTATTATAGTTTGTATACCGGAAAATTTTTATGCCTGTAATTGTCATTTCAATAATATAAAAAATTTGCTTATATTCCAATTAATTGCAGCTTCAAGGACAATTTTAAATGGAAGATCATTTTGTGGAAGAATATCAATTCACTGATATATAAACATGCATGCATGTACAAAAAAAGATATTTTCAACTATTTTGTGAAAAATGAAGCAGCAAAAAAAATCAAAGTGTTAAAATGTAAACATAAATAAATGTTAAAAAGCAATTGTCTGAAAAAATTTTTCATTTCCAATTTTCGGAAATATAAATTTTTTTTAAGAAACAAAAATAAGGAAAAAATAACAAAAGAAAATCAAAAGATGAAGTAGGTAAATAGGGAGAAAGAATTAGCAAATAAATGAAATTATCAAAACTGATTGTAATTTTATATACTAATGATATGATAATCAATTTTCTCGTTAATTATGATATGAATCTAATGAAGAAATAATATTAACGGAGTAATGGTAATGAATTAGAAATGAGCTCAAAAAAACTAAAGAAAATATGAATGGAATTATAGTAATGGCATAGTTCCACGTATATAACGTGATATGTGAATTGCAGGAAAATATGCAACAATCATTTATTAGAAAAAAAAAGAAGTGAACACAAAGAACAGTTAAAATGTTCATATTCATTTATCTGAAAATAAAAGAAAAAGCAGAAGAAAAATATGAAATTATAAAATTGATTTTGGAAGGGGAAAGAAAATGTTGGAGAAAAGCAAAATAATTTTCAAAAAAAAGTCATGCAAATATTTTTAGCCAAAAATTCATAATATCCTCAATAATTAACAATTATTATTGTAATATCACAAAGAATAGAAGAAAGATGAATAAAAAGAAAAAAGAGACGAAGGAAAAAAAAAGAATGAGATTATTGTTATTAAATATTTAAATTATTTATAATTTTCATATTTTTCTTTTTTTTTGTAATTTCATTTTTTTTTCAAATTTACATCTTAATGTAGGTACCTTAAGTTCTAATTTCAAATTAAAAAAACTATATTTTATTTCAAATTTGATGAATAACTATTTACTTTTTCATCCGAATGAAATATTAATTATGGGCATGTACGTTTGTATGTATAATTATATATGGCGCATATGTGTGTGTATATGTGTGTATGTGCATGTGTGTATGTGCATGTGTGTTGTGTATGTGTGTTGT